TAATATATAGATATAGATATAATATAGAATATATAGATATTAGATAGATATATAGAAGAATATAGATATGATATAGATATATATATATATAATATTATATATATATATATATATATATATATATATATATATATATATAGAGATTAGATAGATAGATAGATTATATATATGTGTGTTGTATATTTTTTTTTTTTTTTTTTTAGAGAGAAAGCTACAGTGCAAGTAGTCATTGTGGAAATGTATTATGTAACTGCACATCCACATCTTGGTTGATTTCCAGCAAAGTCTCGTGGAGCATGTTTGCACGTATTTAATCCAATAAAGGATTCATTAAACAGGGAAAACAACGCCAAGGAATATTTGTCACCTTGAAAGATAAATTCACCTAATAAATCGAAGGCTCACATTTAAAGGGAGACGTTAAGTTAACATCCACATTTGGTGATACATTGGTTTATTTTACAGATAATTTCTGGTACCTTACTGTTCCAAGAAAATAGATCGAACATGCACATTGTTGGGTTTTCATTGATAACTGTCCTTAAATGTTTTTCATTTCTCCTCTTCTGCATTAATAAAGACTATTGTAATGTATGGTATATTAATTAGCCAATTTTAATAGGGACTGTCCCTGTGCTGAAATGATTGTGCTGGAGTGATTCGGAGGCGTCCCTGGTGCTGAAAACTAACAGGCAAACAACGACCGCTCGGAATGTCCATTCTTAACATACAACTTTGGGATCTCATTTCCCTAGTTGGCCCATTAAGAACTCTCACTGTGCTTCAGATTAACAGAAACAATCCAATGAATTCTCATGAAGCATCACAAGAAGATTACACCCACCAGTCAATACGCTAATCAAACCACAAATTCATTTACTCTGAATAAGTAGGTCTGGTTTTTCTGATTCTGGGGGAAATAACAGATTAGACTTACAAATACACACTGATGAAAGTTCCAATTTTGAAGTTGAATGAAGCCAAGACTTATTTCACTTTCATTAAGACATGCACACAGCGCCACCTGCTGGATTTAACGAGCATTTGCATCGCAGTGTTTGCCAAGCACTGCCTCACAGCCTTGTGGGAAGCGTCTAATGAATAAAGAAAAATCCTTGTTGGCTGATTTTAAATGGCGAAACCAAAACCTAGTTCATCCTATCAGCTGTATAGTCTGCAAGATCACTAGTGGTTCTGTCTTTGATCCTAAATTTAAAGTCAAACCCCCCCCCCCCCCCCCCCTATATTTCATTTTGTTTTAGAGACATTTGATTGTATTTTTATTTTACATCTTATAAAGTGGAAGCCAGAATCATCAGTCACAGTTAGCCACCCAGTGGTTCAAGCCCTTGTCTGTTTTGTTTTTTAAATCTCTCTCTTTTTCTCTCTCTATATATATATACACACACACACATATATATACACACACACGTATGTGTATATTTTTTACAATTTACTGCTGACATACTTAAAATTTCTAGGCACAAAATTTATTTTTTCCCAATTTTCCACTGGTTGGCTTGAAAAATGCTTAATCAAGGAATTTACTCATCATTATACACTTTATGTGTAACAAAATAAAAGTTTGCAGTTCCTTTATGCTACACACAAACAGATAATCAAATTCATAGAATAACAAAAACATAAATAAAAGGCAGGTAATAGTGTACATTCACTATTAGTAAACATATAAAGTTAAGTATTATGTCACTGCTTTAATAAGGAAAGCTACATTTAAATATAATATATGTAATATAATACCTCACAGTGCAAATGTTTGACATGAAACGGAAGCAGTCCTGATTGTACATTATTATGTCTGACACATCTGCCAGATTGTACCTATTCATCTCATCATGAAGAGTTTCTTTTGGTCAGTCTGAAGAGCTGACATACAGTACGTGTCCCCCTCGACGTTCAACTGCGAGTGCTCTCGATGAAAAAAGGCTGTGAAGAGAAAAATAGAAATACATAACTTCTGTAAGACTGGTAATAAAAAAAGTATACATGTATATCAGCAAATGAGTTTTTTTCTTACCCGTTCTTTGGGTATATGAACACGCCATCGCTGCAGACGCCATCTTTCACAGGATTGTCTATCAGACACCACAGCCATGAACAGCCCACGCTGTACGAAACAGAGAGGAGAGAGAACAGTGGATACAGAACATACCTACTGACAGCCGCAGTGTAATCATCTGGGTAAACCTCATTATGACTAACAACAGCGACACAAGTTCAAGTTACCTGCCTGGTCTTGAGAGACTTGACTGATGTCTCTCTGCCAACTCCTGCATGTCCGTCAGGCTGCACAGACAGCTCTTCTGGTGCCATACTTTAGCTCAGAGGTTCCTCGTACTCTTCTGGCTCAACCTTCACTGTCACAATCTCTGTTTCCACAGACTCCTCTTCTGACTCCGACTTCCCAGACGACTCCCCTGGCTCCGACTCCAGAGGCTCCTGATATGACTCTGGGCTTTAACAAGCAAGTGTAGAGAAGAGCAAATAAATCCTACTTGATATCCAACAGCAAACAAAAGTGTGTTCCGTCTCTTCGGGTACCTGTCAGCGGCCATGGCACCCTCAGTCTCGTTGTTACAGCTGCTTGGGTCGTCATCAGAATACGAGCACGGGTCGTATCTAAACCTCTTGACTGGTGTGTCGTTTCCAAAACCAAGAGAAAACTCAAGTGTAGATGTGTCACATTCAACACTCCTGTGTGGGGCCCTGGCCTGTACAGCTGGGAGGAAACCACACAAATGATATGCTGAGATTATACAAAAGGCAGCAACATGAGTACAGAGGTCCCTCACTCACTTGAATAATGAATTCAATTTAGGGGCCAATATGTTTTGTTTGGTCAATTTCAAGGAAAAATGAGCATTGGCCACCATGAGAGAACATTAAAAACACACCTGCTGGGATTACAACCAGACTATGAACTGACTGTACATCTTACCTTTACTTCTCTTGAAGGGCTTCCTGTTGGCTTGTGTAGAGACGTTATGTTTTCCGATCGGAACAGTCTGGCACCTGACGTGGTTCACACATGGCTCCGCTCCACAAAGCGCATCCACGGTCCTCACCTCAGTCTGGCAACCCACATCTTTAAGGACTTTGGACTGGGGTAAACAGAATATCAGATCATCATAATAAATCTACAAAGCCACACAAAAAGGAGCCAGTACTTTTGACTCTTTTCTTGAACCTCTGGCTGAAAAGTGCCAGACATAATTAGACATGATAACATATTAGCGGCTACTTTTGTTTTATTATTAGTGTTTATTTTTAATGATGGGGGTCTTTTATTCTGTTTATTCTGTCTTATATGCTTTTAATTGTTAGGATTTTGTTTGCCTAGTGCCTCCTGAAATGTTTTTAATCCTGGTTCGGACCATGTAACTTTGATTTGAAAAGTGCTGTCGAAATAAAGTTCATTATTATTATTTATTTATTTATTATTATTATTCATTATTATAATTGTTGTCAGGTTACCAAATACCTTAAAGTTCCACGTTTCAAAGTGTGTTTGAACGCACCATTGAACCAACACTATACTACTATAATTCAACTAACCTTACTGACGTTGGTTGTGTTTCCTATTTGAAATGATAAAAGAATAAAAAAATAAAAAAAACTTAACTAACATAACACCAACAAAAAGTTAAAGGCGCTGTAACAGCCCTGCTCATAAAAGAGCTTGAGACCCGTGTTGAGCTCTCACCGGCCGACCCTCCGCTGGATTTGGAAGCGCATCGTCGGTGAGGTGGAGCCGGACAGCGAAGCCCATCCGGGCCTGGGTGTAGTTGGTGAAGCACTCCGGGGAGAAGTGGAGGGCGCACACTTTGAGCTTGGAGGTCCGAGAGTCCTCCGCCATGCCGAGGATCTGCAGCCACCGGAGAGCCCGCACACGGTCAGTCGGGAAAGAAAGCAGCTTCGTGGTGCTTTTGCAACCCGGGAACGAACACGTCATCACCATCCTGGTCGACGCTCGAGAAGAAGACGTGTGCTAACTAAACAGAGCTAACAACACCGCAACTGTTGCTGTCACCAAAACTTGGACGAGTGAGCCTTAACACGGACACAACCATAGGGTAGACTCATTTGAACACGTAGCTGTTAGTGGATAGTAATGAAAACACCTATCAAATGCACTTTTGTCAAAGTTTTAGATGTATATTCCATTATTTTGAACATCTATCGAGTTGGTTATGATTTCTTCTTCTAGGACGGTTGCTTCCTTTATATTTATTGGCGGTAGCAAAACTTCTCGGAGCATCAGCGCCACCCACTGGACTGGAGTGTAAAAGCGCCACACCATTTTTTTAATTTAAAGCTGCTGTCCAGCATTATGGGGTGCCGTTTGTAAAGCAGCTCAC